TCCTTCCTTCCTTCCTTCCTTCCTTCCTTCCTGTCTTTCTTTCTTTCGTCTTACAGAGTCTCACTCTGTCGCCCAGACTGCAGTGCAGTGGCGCTGTCTTGGCTCACTGCAACCTCAGCCTTCTGGTTTCAAGCTGTTCTCCTGCTTCAGCCTCCCAAATACCTGGGACCACAGGCGCGTGCCACCACACCCGGCTAAATTTTTGTATTTTTAGTAGAGATGGATTTTACCATGTTAGCCAGGCTGATCTCAATCTCCTGACCTCATGATCTGCCTGTCTCAGCTTCCCAAAGTGCTGGGATTACAGGTGTGAGTCACCACGGCTGGCCTGACCTTGATACTCTTTAGGAGCGAGCAGGTCTCCTTTCTGGAGACTAGAGCAGTCTCAGCCAAGACAGTGGCCAGCAGGCCCGGAGAAGTCAGAGAGCAGGGAGAACCTACAGGGCCATTTTCAAGCCGGAGTCCTCAGGAGGGAGCCAAGAAGTTCACAGGGTCAGGAGTAGGATCCCAAATCAAAGATAGAGTCCACTTTCTCTTTTCTGTATCAAAACCACTTTGAGCTTCCCAGCCACGTGGAGCTGCTGTTCTCGTTGAGAGGGAAGCATTCTAGAAGCTTGACCCTTTCCATAACCACCAAAGTCTAGTTCTCTTTAGAAGGTACCAGAACCTCTTAGCCACATAGGCCTTGAATTCTGCAGCCTGGAAACCCCTTCATATCTCCACCATCGCTTATCCAGGGAGGCTGATCACTTCAGAGCCAGTGAGTCCCACAGTTGCGTATTCTTACTCTCACCGTCCTTGGCCGCTAGCTGAACTGGAAGCCCTTTGTCAACTGTCCTTTTGTGGCCACATCGTGTGCGGCTCTAGATTTCCTGCCTCTGTCGCGTCTGTCTACTGCTACCCTCCACACAGCCGTGGAGGAGCTGAGCTCCCCACCTCCTCAGCACCTATCCAGAGCCCACCCTGCACCCCCAGGTCTTGGCCCACTCTTCCCAAGGACACAGTGCCCTGGTGACTCTCAAGCAGAGGTGTGGAACCTTCTTCCATACAGGTTGCCAGGCCCTTGACCGGCACCTGCACCCTCCCTTTGATTGTAAAAGGAATAAGTTCATGAAAGAGCTCCAGGAAATAACAGACATTAAAGAAGAAGAGTGAAATCCCTAGCAACCCAGAAATAATCTTAATATGTGACTACTTTTTCCCATCTTTGTTCTATGCATATATGTTTAGATTTTTTAAAATCTATATCATATTATTTATATATTTTGCTTTTTTTTCACTTGATATATTGTGATTTCTACATGTGTCACCAAATAGTCTTCGAAAATATGATTCTTGGCTGAGCACAGTGGCTCCTGCCTGTAATCCCAATGCTTGGGGAGGCCAATGCAGGAGGATCTCTTGAACCTAGGAGTTTAATACCAGCCTGGGCAACGTCGTGAGAGCCTTTCTCTACAAAAAAATGTAAAAAATCAGTAAAGTGTCTGTTTGCATGAAAAAAGAAATAATAATAATTAAGCCGGGCATTGGCCGCTACCCCATTTGGGAATTGAGTAAGTAGCACCTCTACCTGGCCGCTGCACTGTCTGGGAAGTGAGGAGCACCTTTGCCCAGCTGCTGTGCAACCCTCCAAGTGTGAATTGGCAGCCTTGTGTGTGATCTTTCTCCCCTCCCCAAGTTTGCATTTTCAACATTAAAGTTTACTTTTAAATTAAAAGTTTAGAATTGGAAAAATAATAATAATAATAATAATTAGGCCGGGCGCGGTGGCTCACACCTGTAATCCCAGGGCTTCAGGAGGTCGAGGTGGGCAGATCACTTGAGGTCAGGAGTTTGAGACCAGCCTGGCCAACATGGTGAAACCCTGTCTCTACTAAAAATACAAAAATTAGCTGAGCATAGTGGTGCACACCCATAGTCCCAGCTACTCAGGAGGCTGAGGCAGGAGAATTGCTTTAACCTGGGAGGCAAAGGTTGCAGTGAGCCAAGATTGTGCCTCAGCACTGCAGCCTGGGTGACAGAGCAAGACTTCATCTCAAAAAGTATAAATAAAATAATAATTAGCTGGACATGGTGGAGCACACCTGTCCTCCCTGCTACTGGGAAGGCTGAGGTGGGAGGATCACTTGAGCCTGGGAGATCGAGGTCAATGCTGCAGTGATTGTGATTGTGCCACTGCACTCCAGCCTGGGTAACAGAGTGAGACCCTGTCTCAAAAATAATTAATTATACTTTTTTTTTCCTGAGATGGAGTCTCGCTCTGTCGCACAGGCTGGAGTGCAGTGGCGCCATCTTGGCTCACTGCAAACTCCACCTCCCGGGTTCACGCCATTCTCCTGCCTCAGCCTCTGGGTAGCTGGGACTATAGGCACCCGCCACCACGCCTGGCTAATTTTTTTGTATTTTTGTAGTAGAGACGAGGTTTCACCATGTTAGCCAGGATGGTCTCAATCTCCTGACTTCATGATCCGCCCACTTCAGCCTCCCAAAGTGCTGGGATTACAGGCATGAGCCACCGCGCCTGGCCAATTTATTATACTGTTAATATACTGTTACTTATTTAAATGCCCCTTTCAGGTGGACATTTAGTGTGTTTCTATTTATTTTACTGTTACAACATTTTTGTTCCTAAATCAGCTTTTTAAAATTTTTTGGATAGATTTCTCAGGGATGGGATGTTGGGTGAAATATGTGTGGCGATATTGAGAATTTCTGATGCATATTACCGAATTGTTTTCAAAGCAGTGTTGTGACAGTTTACAGTCCTGCCTGCTGTGTGTGATGTGTCATAGCCCATCCCATTGTGCCCTCCTTGCCTCAAGAGATGATGTCTTCATCTCCCCTACCTCTCTGTCCCTGGCCCAGTGCCTGACCATACTGGGTGCTTATAAGTGTTTGGGGGTAGCAAAGCCCCCGCTTACCACAGACTCAACATCACTGATGGGAGCTCAACGTCCACTGGGGGGTCTGTAAGGATCAGCCCGTCCAGCTGGGCATCATGCACAAGTTAAACCTTTTGGTGTTTTTGAGACGGAGTTTCGCCCTTGTTGCCCAGGCTGGAGTGCAATGGCACGATCTCGGCTCACTGCAACCTCTGCCTCCTGGGTTCAAGCAATTCTCCTGCCTCAGCCTCCCGAGTAGCTGGGATTACAGGTGCCTGCCACCACGCCCAGCTAATTTTTTGTATTTTTAGTAGAGATGGGGTTTCACCATGTTGGCCAGGCTGGTCTTGAACTCCTGACCTCAGGTGATCTGCCCACCTCAGCCTCCCAAAGTGCTGGGATTACAGGCGTGAGCCACCACGCCTGGCCAAGTTTAACCATTTATACTACTGATGAGTCTCTCCCTGCTTCCCACCAGCATCTGGAGCAGAAACAGGGACAACAGCCCCTCACCTGCACCTGAGCAACTCTGCTTTACCTGTTACACACATGGGGATTCTGCCCGAGATTACTGTTTGGAAAATTTGTGCTGCCTGGCCCATGAGAGTTCTTGTGCTCTCCTCCCTGCCTCCCCAGCAGCATCCCTTCCTCCCAGCTCTGGCTCGCATCCGTTGTTTGCCTTTCCTATGCATTTGTTGCCCTCCACAGTGCCAGGCTTAGGACTTAATGCTCCTGTGACTGAACAGGCTGCCTTCTCTTCTCTCCTGGCTAAGCTTTCTTCGAATGTTAGCTCTGAGACCCATGACACCTTCTCTGGGAACTCCGCCCCACTGTAACTGTTGCTCACCTGCCTCCAAACTAGACAGGAAGTCCTTCAAGTGCAGGAACAGGGCTTTTTCCTCCCTGGCACAGCACCTGGTGCACACTAGGGACTCAGTACCTGAATGGATGGACAATGCTTATTGGCAAAATTATCACTGCTCAGTGTGCCTTTTCCTACCCAGTCTGAGTCTCTGAGAATGCTCTTGGAGAATGAATCTGTGGTTACTTTTACACCTACAGGGCTTAGGGTTTCCTGAGCAAATAACCTCCTTTCTCCCTCTCTTCTTGGCACATCAGCTCACCCGACGACTGCCGCCCATCAAAGAAGCTAAGCCTCGGTTACAGAAGCTCTTCCGGGACTTCTGGCTATATTCCGTTCTGATGGGATTCGCTGTGGAGGGCTCAGGTAGGGGGATAATCTCTCTCCCGGGGAAGATGGAGTGCAGAATGAAGATAAAGGTGAGGTCAGAGCCCATGTAATTATGAATATGAGCATGTTTAAATGAGTCCACATGCAGCTGCTTCTTCCTGCAAGTATTAGCAAGTGTTACTGTCCCCAGATGTAGTTTAGGGTGCTGAGAATGCCGCACACCTTAGGAAAAGTCTGTCCAAGTTAGGTAATAGACTCATTTGTGTGCCTAGTTTTTGGGATAATTGTCTCAAAGGACCCATGACTATAGAAATTGTCAGTCGACCTCACTGCTGTGCTTTCTGACCAAGGTGATTTCCTCATTTGTGTTCACTTTATTGCAGGACTCTGGCCAGAAGAGTGGTACGAAGGGGTCTGTGAAATAGCCACCAAGTCCCCCCTGCTCACCTTTCCCAGCAAGGAGCCACTGCGGTCCGTCCTCCAGTATAACTCAGCCATGAAGAACGACACGGTCACCCCTGTAAGGATTCACATCTCACTTTTACCATGCTCTCTGGGCCAATTAGGGCAGATCCTTTCATTGCCATTATTAACACATGTTGCCAGCCACTGGGACCTGTTTGTCCTGGGAGGTGCCCCCTGAGCCCTTGGATGTTTCTCTCCCTCCAGGCTGAGCTGAGTGAGCTCCGCAGCACCATCATCAACCTGCTGGACCCCCCTCCCGAAGTGTCCGCACTCATCAACAAGCTGGACTTCGCCATGTCCACCTACCTCCTCTCTGTGTACCGGCTGGAGTACATGAGGTACACGTGCCTTCACCACCATGCACATCCACATTTGAGCAGGGTTTTCATTTTTGTGCCCTCGTAAGCGTGAGACTTTTTTCAACTCCTCCCAAGACATGCAAACTTTCTGAAAAACCAAGCAAAAACACCTTCTACTTTTCTCGTATGCCCCTCATTCATGACCACCAAGTACCACATCTGGTAACACCTCCCAGTATCTAAGCTCCGCCTTATCCCCTCTCTAATAGGAAACAGACTTCTGGGCAGTCGCAGTCAGTGTTGTGAACTCAGCCCACGGGCTGAGCGAGGCCCTTCTGAGGACCCAGCCTCACTGAGTGCGTGTCTAGGGCACTCACTGAGCTGCCCAGGACCACGGTTGAGTACAAACAGCAAATGCAACATGAGGTGGGGCCGGCTCCAAAACAATCCTGCATGTGGCCCGATGCTCAGGTCACCTGTGGCCACAGCAGTCCTAACAGCAGTAGTAACTCTTTGGAGCTACAGCTGTTATCATGTTGACCTCAGAAGTAAACGTGGATTGAGTGTCTGTGCTGTACCAGGTACTGTGCTGCATTACCCACGTTTACCACTCCCGACATGCCTGTGAGGTAGGCGGTGTTATACAGACCCACTGTGCTGAGGCCTCAGGTACCCTGGGATAGCAACTGAGTACATTGTCTACAAAATGATGATTCCTGTCATCAAGAAAAGGTCAAATTACACTCAGCTTAAGTCATGGGAGAGTGCAGATAAGTCGTAGAATAATTCCTTTCACAAATGATTTGAAAAAGAAAGTGTGTCCTAAAAGAAAGGCTATTTGGAAAACACTATTTTAGCCTTTCTTTGTTGCCACCAACCCTCTGGTAAAATAGTCCTTGAAAGCTCAGTACGTAAAAGGAAGGCAGAGTGCTTTGGTTGCATCGGAATGCACCCCCACCCTCCTGCTCAGTCTCCTCCACCCTGCCCTCAGCAGCCCAGGGCTCCACACAGAGCCAAATATGGAAATCCATTCTCCCCAAGGCCCACAGAGCCAAGGGAGTTTTGACTTTGTTCTTTTTTCATTATAAGTGTCTTTTATTTTGGCCGGACATGGTGGCTCACACCTGTAACCCCAGCACTTTGGGGAGGCCAAGGCGAGTGGATCACCTGAGGTCAGTTTCAAGATCAGCCTGGCCAACATGGTAAAACCCTGTCTCTACTAAAGATACAAAAATTAGCCAGACCTGGTGGCGAACGCCTGTAATCCCAGCCACTCACTTGCCTCACTTGCCTCAAGTGAGGCAAGAGAATCACTTGAACCCGGGAGGCAGAGGTTGCAGTGAGCCAGGATCATGCCACTGCGCTCAAGCCTGGGCAACAGAGCGAAACTCCATCTCAAAAGAAAAAAGTGTCCTTTATTTTCAGTTATAAAAGTACTATAAGAACATTGCACATGCAGCCAGGCGCGGTGGCTCACGCCTGTAATCCTAGCACTTTGGGAGGCGGAGGCGGGTGGATCACAAGGTCAGGAGATCAAGACCATCCTGGCTAACACGGTGAAACCCCGTCTCTACTAAAAATACAAAAAATTAGCCAGACGTGGTGGCAGGTGCCTGTAATCCCAGCTACTCGGGAGGCTGAGGCACGAGAATGGCATGAACCCGGGAGGTGAGGTAGAGCTTACAGTGAGCCAAGATCGCACCACAGCCCTCCAGCCTGGGCGACAGACCGACTCCATCTCAAAAATAAAGAACATTACACAAAAATGACTAAGCGCGGCCGGTCGCAGTGACTCACACCTGTAATCTCAGCACTTTGGGAGGCCGAGGCAGGCAGATCATGAGGTCAGGAGTTCGAGACCGGTGTGACCAACATGGTGAAACCCCGTCTCTACTAAAAATATAAAAATTAGCTGGGTGTGGTGGCACATGCCTGTAATCTCAGCTACTCAGGAGGCTGAAGCAGGAGAATTGCTTAACCCAGGAGGCAGAGGTTGCAGTGAGCTGAGATGGCGCCACTGCACTGCAACGTGGGCGACAGAGTGAGACGCTATCTCAAAAAAACAAATGGCTAGGCAGTGGCTCATGCCTATAATCCCAGCACTTTGGGAGGTGGGAGGATCACTTGAGCCTGGAAGTTTTGAACTTGTGCAACAGAGCAAGAACTTGTCTCTACCCCCCCTCCAAAAAAAAAAAACAACAAAAAAAAAAACAACCTAGCCAGTTGTGGTGGAACATGCCTGTAGTCCCAGCTACTTAGGAGGCTGAGGCAAGAGGGTTGCTTAAGCCTAGGATGTTGAGGCTGCAGTGAGCTATGATCAAACCACTGCACTCTGGCCTAGGCAAAAGACACTGTCTCAGAAAAACAGAACATTTATGCAAAATCTTGCAAAATAAGTAGAGAGAGAAAAAAACCACTGACCTCACCATCATCCCCTATAGCCTGTTAGTATAGCTGCTTGTAGTCTTTTTACTGAACAATATATTTTCAAAGAAAAAACAGCCAAAACAAAACAAGCCCGACCCAAACAGAGCAAAAACAATGGCTTTCATCCCAGCATGCATGGCTAGAAGAGGTATCTCCAGACCCTCTCAACCTCATGTGGTTTGAAGGCAAAGCTACCTCTGCCTTTCCCACAAGTATGCCCCTGAGTAGTTTTCTCAGGTTCTCAGGACAGGCTCTTAACTGGCAGAGGAAGACTCTAAGAGGCAGCCCATAGCAGCTCCTGTGAGCCCACCTTCCACCTCGGGCTGCCTACCAGGCCCTTGAGGGCACTCTATTAGCATAGAGAGGCCTCCTCAAAGCCTTTATTCAGGAACCTGGCCCAGGTTCCCAGCCACTGGGTATTGAGAGAACTTTAAAACCACGAAGTGGAGAATTTGGGAAATCAAGTTAAAGGTGTGTGCACGTGCACGCTCGAATGCGTGTGCTGAAAGCCACCTGGCCTGCCCTCCTGAGGCTTAACTCTTGACAGGCTGGCGCAGAGGCCAAAAGACGTGGCCTGCCAAGCCGCTGCTGCCTTAGTGGAGCCCCTGAAACTCTGAACAGCCCTTCACAGCACCCATGGGACAAGTGTATGCGCTTTTTCCTTTTTCTCCTTTTCCCCCTGAAGTTAAAGATATTTTTTACCATAAAAGAAAAATGTACAGGGTGCGTAAAACAAAAAAGAAAAGAGGAAACACTGGCATAGTACAGAAGATGCTAAAGATGAAAAAAGACAGGTGTCACCTTTGTAGATGTGAATACCTCGTTTCTACTATCCTACTGTTAATGGCCTCTTAATTTCCCTCTAGAAATTTTCTGTGCATAGGCAAGCATGCGTAGCCTACACATACACATGCACAGACAGGCCTTTAGGAAACCTGTCAGTGGGATCATGCTGGACATGTGTTCCCTGCAGCTTGCTTTTTTCTGTTAATATATGTCTCGGACATTTTTTTGTAACAGCACATGTAGAGAGCTGCCTCTCGTATGGTGGCTGCATGATGTGTCATCGAATGGGTGTACTTTGGCTTATCTGCCCAGTCTTCTGTTGATGGACATTCAGAGTCTCTCCATTTTGGGTAATGCCATCAGTGCTATTAGGAGAATCCTTATGCATGTAACCCTTAAGATATATCCTAATGGTGGGGCTGCTGGAGTGAAAAATATGGGAATGTGTAATAGATGGTGCACGTCACCCTCCAGAAAGTCCACGTCAGTGTACGCCCTTATGAATGGCAGAAGGCAAATGTTCTTCACAGCCTTACCACTTATGGGCGGTGTCAAATCTGTGATAGGGAGGGCCTGGATTTTTCAAAATTTATCTAAAGCTGTTTTCTTCTTAGGGTACTGCGTTCAACAGATCCTGATCGCTTCCAGGTAATGTTCTGCTACTTTGAGGATAAAGCTATTCAGAAAGACAAATCTGGTAAGCTCATTATTGTGGTGCTTTCATGATGAATTGAGCTTTAATAGGATAAAAAGGAGTACTACTTCCTCTTTTCTGTCTACATGTAGAAAATGTTTTATGAAGTTACATACTACATTAGAAAGATCAGTATAAAACATACAACCTTCAAATGTACACCTTAATGGTTCTGCCACTGGTGCAAGGGCCCCAAAAAGAAGAATGGTCATTCTAGCCCACTGTCTATGCTCAGGTGTGCTCCAGCACTCATCTAGAGGGACCAGGGCTTCTCGAATGGTCACTGATGGACCTGTAGCATCTTGCTGTTGCCAGAGAGCAGTCATGGTTTTTTAACGTCAGGAGCAGGAAACACAGTAGCTCGTGCCTGTAGTCCCAAGTTACTCGGGAGGCTGAGTGGGAGGATCGCTTGAGCCCAGGAGTTCAAGGTTAGAGTGAGCTATGATCATGCCACTGCATTCCAGATGCAACTTGTCGTCAGACCCTGAGTGCACAGAGGGCCTCAGCTGTTAACAGCCCTAGCCCAGAAAACCAACTCCTAGGAAGACAGAGAAATGGTGGAAACTGTAGGAAGGCATAAAAATGTTACAATTACCAAAACCCCATGAAGACAAAGCTAAGATAAGAATAAAAAGGAGAGATGGAAACTGGGAAGAGTACAAGGAGACTGTCTGGATTGATGGAAGTGTCCTCTAGATTGTTTGGGTAGTGGTCTCATGAGTGTATACAGTTGTTAAGTAATGGAATTGAACACATAAGAGCTGTGAATTTTATTATATGCAAATTATACCTCAAATTTTTAAAATTACAAAAGGCTAATAAGTAGTTTTATAAAAATGTATTTAGACAATAAAAAGATATTAAAATAGAGACAACAAAGGAAAAAGTTAAATACTGCATAGAAGCACTTTTTGGCCAGTTTTAGTGTAAGGGCACTAAGAAGTCTGATTTATAAGGTGTTTAAAATCAAAAATTTAAAAGATGCTGAAATATTAGACCTGAGTTTTAATTAAATGCTTAGAATAATTTGATTATTTTTGTAATTATGGTGAAATCATGTTTAAGTGTGCAAGAGAATTGGGGAGAATCCACAAATTTTGATTAACTGTATGAATAAATTCTTTGAGGCATGCTTATTGATAAATTCTTGAGATTGACAAATTTAATATTAATGAAAGTGCAACTAGCAGTGTGTAGTCCTTTCCGCACCGGAAGCCGTTGATAGGTTGGTGAATCTATCAACTTGTTCTTGCCTATGGAGAAATTATTTCTGATAACTACTTGTATCATTTTTTCTTTTGTTGAAAAATCAGGCTGGGCACAGTGGCTCACGGCTGTAATCCCAGCCCTTTGGGAGGCCAAGATGGGTGGATCACCTGAGGTCAGGAGTTCGAGACCAGCCTGGCCAACATGATGAAACCCCATCTCTACTAAAAATAAGAAAATTGGCCGGGCGTGGTGGCTCACACCTGTAATCCCAGCACTTCGGGAGGCGGAGGCGGGTGGATCACAAGGTCAGGAGATCCAGACCGTCCTGGCTAACATGGTGAAACCCCCTCTCTACTAAAAATACAAAAAATTAGCCGGGCGTAGTGGCGGGCACCCTGTAGTCCCAGCTACTCAGGAGGCTGAGGTAGGAGAATGGCGTGAACCTGGGAGGCAGAGCTTGCAGTGAGCCAAGAACGTACCACTGCACTCCAGCCTGGGTGACAAAGCGAGACTCTGTCTCAGAAAAAAAAAAAGAAAGCAGCCTCTCACTACCCTTGAGCATCTGTCCAGGTCACACTGACAACTTTTCAGATTGCTGAGGTCCTGCTTACCTTCATAAAAAATATCTATGAAAGGCCTCTTTATGTCTCAGGCTCCATGCTGGGCATGAGGTGCAAAGCTGATAGCACCTGCCTTGTCTCTCTGCCTGGAGGCAGAGGGCAGACCTGGCATGTAGTCATGCAAATTAAAAACACTGGATAGAGAAAACAGCATGATGGAGTGTGAATTGGCATTTTATTACAGTTCTTCATCTGCACTGTGATGATCACTGTGTTCTGTTGCTTTTTCTTTTCTTTCTTTTTTTTGAGACAGTGTCTTGCTCCGTCTCCCAGCCTAGAGTGCAGTGGCACAATCCCAGCTCACTGCAACCTCCACCTCCCAGGCTCAAGTGATTCTTGTGCCCTACCCTCCCAAGTAGCTGGAATTACAGGTGTGCACCACCACACCCAGCTAATTTTTGTGTTTTTACTAGAGACGGGGTTTCACCATGTTGGCCAGGCTGGTCTCGAACTGCTGGCCTCAAGTGATCCACCCACCTCAGCCTCCCAAAGTACTGGGATTACAGGCGTGAGCCACTGTGCCTGGCCCATTCTGTTGCCTTTTACAGCCTACTTGGCACCCCTGTAACAGTGAGCATATCCGGTGCTCAGATCTTGGTTTCTAATTAGTATTCTCCAATAAAAGGAACCAGGGCTCCATGGAGAAATGGTTGATTCTAGGGAGCCTGTACAGGATGAGCCTGGGGCACCCTGTTGCACCAGAAAGTAAGGATACACCAATAAAGAAGAAAAGAGAAGACATGGGGCCTGTCCAAATGACACAGGAGCCAGCCTGAAAGAACTCCCAGTGGCCAAAGCTGGAATGATTTGAACAGAATAAATAGTATTGGATTATAACCCAACAAATAAAAATCCACGGTTCTGTAATGATTAGACTATCGAATAAATTAAAAATGGGGAAAAAGGCTGAACCTTCTTTACAGAATTCCAACTACTATTAATAAAAATAGAAGGGGCTGGGCACAGTGGCTCATGCCTGTAATCCTAGCATTTTGGGAAGCCAAGGCAGGAGGAGCGCTTGAGCCCAGGAGTTCAAGACCAGCCTAGGCAACAAAGTGATACCCTGTCCCTAAAAAATAAATTTTTGTTTTGTTTTGTTTTGAGATGGAGTCTCACTCTGTCACCCAGGCTAGAGTGCAGTGGCACAATCTCGGCTCACTGCAACCTCTGCCTCTCAGGGTCAGGCCCTTCTCCTGCCTCAGCCTCCCAAATAGCTGGGATTACAGTGGTGCGCTACCATGCCTGGCTAATTTTTGTATTTTTAGTAGAGACGGGGTTTCACCATGTTGACCAGGCTGGTCTCGAACTCCTGACCTCGTGATTCACCCACCTTGGCCTCTCAAAGTGCTGGGATTACTGGCGTAAGCCACCATGCTTGGCCAACACTTTTTAAAAAGTAGAAAGAACGAGGAAAATAGAAAATTCTTGTGACAACCGTAGTAACTACTGCAGGCAGAATTCATTCATGGATGCCAAAGTGAATGGGCAAAATCTTAAAGAGAAACATGATCTCTGCATAACTTCAAAGTATCTTCCCCAAAATATCAATCACTATGGTGGCTGTAATTCTCATCCACAAATTTCTTTCAGGTGGTAGCCCTTAATTCCTTGGCTTTGAGTGTGGGCTGTCCTTAGTGACTTTCTTCTAAAGAATGGAGAAAGGGGGGCTGGGCGTGGTGGCTCAAGCCTGTAATCCCAGCACTTTGGGAGGCCGAGACGGGCGGATCACGAGGTCAGGAGATTGAGACCATCCTGGC